CCCCAAACACCCACCCTCTGCCCCCCATCTGGTATCCAGGGCTGGTTTCCCTCCCATTTGTGATGCCAGCTCCCCACACTGCACAGAGACCTGCCAGGCCAGGGGGAAGAGGGATCCACTGTGGATCAAGCCATGCACCCTGAGAAACACCATTGGGGCAGGAGGAGGGGGCCGGGGGGGTCCTATTCCCATGGAAAGCACAGGGCTCTTTTTTCAGTTATACAAGATGAAACCACAGGGATATAAATGTCGCTGCCTCTTTGAGAACATTAATGAAAATAAACCCATTTAATAGTTTGCAGATGCTGTTTCTGTAAACCTAAAAAAAGCAGGGAATAAATATTTCTTCACTAAATATCTATATGTATATATATATTTGAAAACATTTGCTCCCAATCTTAGGGCCCCTCCTTTGCTGTGCTTTTGGCAGCTTATCACAGCTTGTCAGTCAATGCTGAACTCACCAAGAAGAGATACAAATTGCACCCATGGAGGGGTAGCAGGACTGAGGGATTATTGTAATCTAAGCTCTCTCTCGCCCTTTCTATTTGTACATTTCAATTACTTGTAACAAGATCCATGGTGGATTTTTTTTTCTTCTGCATGTCTGTGTTTTGGAAATTTTTGTAAGGTTTTTGTAAAAACAACTCTTGTGAAATAATGGAGGAATAAATATTTTACTGAGTAGAGACGTGTCAGTGCATGTGATAGGGACTGAGTCTTCCATCACCAGCCACTGTGGTTTCCCCACCTGCCCTGGACAAGCAGCCTGGGCAGAAATTGAATTAAGAGGCAGCAAGGAGGGTCAGATTCTGCACAGAAATCGAGCTGAAAGAACCCAAAGGGTAGAAATAAACCATCAGATTGTAGAGCACTTTCCAGGGAGAGAAGGCCCACAGGTGCAGAGCAGGCACTGAGCACCCAAAACAAGAGGAGTCAGTGGTCAGGCAAAGGTGATACCAAATAGTTGAGGCAGCCAAGTTAAACAGGGCTCCAGAAGCTCACAGTGCTGAGCTATCCAGCAGCAGATTTGATGCAGTGTGGAGAGGTGTCAAGATGTGCCCAGGGGAAACTGCCCAGCACACGCTCAGACTGAAAGGCAGCAAGTCAAGTGGCAGGAATTGCTAGGAAAGGGTCAGAGAGCGAGGCAGAAAGTGTCCTCACTGCACAAATGAAGCCTAAAGCCATTGCACTGAGATACTGTGGGGATCAATGCTATGGTGCATTCAGAGAGGTGACACAGTTAATGGTGGGTGTGTGTTGGTGCAATGTGGCAGGGATCCAGCTGCCTGTGCAGAAATTGCTGCCCTGCCGACTTCCAGGAGAGCTGGGAGGAGAAGGGACACCTGGGTTTCCCCTGTTTCTTTCACTTCCCTTCACCTGCTGACTTGAGCAGCCTCCTGTCAGGCCAGCTCACACGGTGTCACTTACAGGATGGCTCTGTCACCTCCTCCTCCCCCCAGGCCATCCTCAATCCCCCCACAGAGCCAGGGGACCACAACACCGTCCCATGCACCCAGAGAGGCTCAGCTCCATGGGAGCCCAGGATCAGCTCCCTCCCAGCCTTTTTCCCTCCCATCACCAGTGGCTGCTGGGACACGTGGATCAAGGCTGGGGAAGGAAGGACCCCAAAACAAAGCATTCCAGCTGTCCCTAGAGGGGAACAAGGCTCATCCCACACCATCCCTGCAGCACCCAGCAGGAGCAATTCCCCATACTGGACATCACCCCAGGCCCACCATGGTCCCACACTCTTGACCAGCCCTGCCAAACTGCTCTGCTGCTGCTTTGTAACCAATTTGTTATTCATCCAGTAAGTGGCTTGTAGATCATTAAGGCAAATTGTCCAACCTCCCGCATAAAGAATATCACCCAAGCAGCATCCTCATGTCCTCTGCACGTGGCCAGTGCAGAGCATCCCTTTGGAAATCATCCAACCCTGAGTCAAGAGACCCTTGGAAGTGATGAACTTACAGATCCCAGGGCAGATTCCTGCAGTGACTCATCACTGTTGACTGCTGGAAATATGTCACTTATTTCCTGCCTGAACTGTCCCAACTTCAGTTCATCTTCCACTGGAGCAGAAGGTCTCAACCCATGGTCAGTGAGCTCCCAGGAGCTGGGGGACATCTGAGGGGTCTCAAACCAGGGGACAGACGAGCGTGGAGAGCTGCAGCTCACCTGGCAGGGTCTGCACTCCACGGGGGAGGGAGACACTGGGGGCAGGCTGTCAGTGAAGAGGAGCTCAAAGACCTCAGCTTCTCCAGGACGGGCATTTTTCCTCCCTGGAAGGGCACATCCATCACCAGTGCTAATTTCAGCAGGACAGCTGGTCTCCACCCATGCACTACAACTTTGGGAGTGTGGGAAGATTGCAAAGACATTTGCAAACTGTTCCCTTCCTCCAAGGAGTTGGTTTTCAACCAGGTGAATCCAAAAGGGCGGGTCTCAGGTGATGGGAGGATCTTTCTGGACCCCTTTCCTTGTTTCTGACCCCACAGCCTGGCACTTGTGCGTGGCTTGCTGAAAAGTTGAAGTTTGCCCCTACAATATTTTAATGAGAACAATTCTGTGTTGTCATCAGCATCGGCTGCTACAGCAGCAAGACAAAACCAAGGTCACATTTTCCAGCTCACGGGGACACCCGCCTGGTTATCCCCGGCCAGGATGAATCACAGACAAATCGTGGTTACAGTATCCTTTCCCTTTATCCTTTGCTGCTGAGCCCTTCTCCCTCTGGTGGCAACGGGGAGCTCTGAAGACGCTCTGAGTCCTGCTGGCACCACGCACAAACTGCAGGGACACATGTTCCTGTGACAGCAACGTGTCACCTCCAGCAGCAGAGCCCCTCCTGCCCTTTGGAGCAGGGCTCCTGTCCTGGGGGTTGTGATGCTCACCCCAAACTCTACATTCCCTATGGAAGGAGCATCTCCTCCCTGCAGCAGATATTTTGCTTGCTGCTGCTTCTTTCCAGCCCCACAGGGAAGCAACCTAAGGCAGCAGAGAAGCTGGAGGTAGCTATGCACAGGGGTGTAATGCTTTATAATTACTTGGGAAGAAGGGAGGAAGCAAAGGTTCCTTTTGCAGCTTCACAAAGTCCAGGAAGAGTTATCACGGGTAAGGAAGAACTCTTGCATGGAGATGCACAGCGTTGCAGCCATACACCACAACTTCAGAAGCAGGGGAAGTTTGCAAGGATATTTACAAACTGTTTCCTTCCTCAAACCACTCTCTTTTCAACCAGCTGACTCGCAGAGAGCAGCGACGGGAGGATCTCCCTGGGACTCACATCTCACCTTGCCTGCTTTGGAGAGGCCGATGGGCACTGGAGCAGACACCAGCCTCCTCCTCCTCCTCAACCCATTCCCAAAGGAATGGCACCTTCCCTGCGCCCCAAACACCTCCATGAGCACCCCCAGCTCTCTGCCCAGCAGAGGCGCGGAGGACCCGCGGGTGCGGGCGCCGGGGGGGTCCCCGTGTCCCAGTGTCCCCGTGTCCCCGTGTCCCCGTGTCCCCGTGTCCCAGTGTCCCCGTGTCCCCGTGTCCCCGTGTCCCCGTGTCCCAGTGTCCCCGTGTCCCAGTGTCCCAGTGTCCCCGTGTCCCCGTGTCCCCGTGTCCCCGCAGGGTCCCCGTGTCCCAGTGTCCCAGTGTCCCCGTGTCCCAGTGTCCCCGTGTCCCCGTGTCCCCGCAGGGTCCCCGCAGGGTCCCGCAGCCACACGAGGGTGCTGCAGCCCCGCGCAGCGCAGCCCGGCTGGAGCAGGGCATGTCTCACAGCTCAGCCCCACACCGCGTTAGAAAACCCCCCTGGAAAGAGTTTTCCCCGGTGCCAACTTCACCCTGGTGTGCCAGAGGGCAGCGGGGGAGCGCCGCTGTCTTCTCCACCTCGAAGTGCCCATGGCTGCAGGGCTGGCTCCTCTCTGCAACCCGCAGGAATCTCATTTCCTCAAGGGGAATTGTGTATCAAAATCGCACCTGCTAGAGGGAATGGGGATGTTGGGAGGGCGATCTGTGCTAAAAGGTAAGCTGCCCGAGATGGAATCTTGGTGCAGATGCCAGCAGGGAACGCTCTGGATGGAGAGAGACCCGGGGAGCGGGGCAGGCAGGTGAGGAAGAGGAGTGAGCACAGGAAAAGGTGTGTCCTGTGCGCAGGGGTGGGACGGATCCTGGGCTGGAAGCACCCGAAAGGGTGTGGGAGGGAAAGCGGCTTGTGCCGGGTCTCCTCCACTTGCTTTTCTCGCAGCACCGTGAGGTGACGCGTACGGGTGGTGTGAATCACAATCACACATTTAACCACAGAGCGGGGCGGAACGGACCTTAAAGGTCACCTACTCACACCTACTTACATCCAGCTTGAATTAGACAAAACTTGCTCAAACAACCTGGCTTTGAGCTGTGCCAGGGCTGGGCATCCACAGCCTCCCTGGGCAGCCTGTACCAGTGTCCCACCACCCTGGCAGGAAAAGAATTCTTCCTAAAGTCTAACTGAAATTTCTCCTCCTTCAGTTTGTACCCATTTAAAACTTGTTCTGCAGTCCCGGGTGGGTTTCACAGCGTTGCTGTTTCCTGTTTGAGCCAGGTGTGAAGAACAAGTTGTTGGACATAGCAGGCACACACCAAACCCCAGACTGGTGGGTGCAACCACTGTCCTTGCTCCCTGGAGCAGCAGGAGACACTGGGCACGTCCTTTGCCCACACTGATGCCAGAGCAGGAATTTGGGAGCTCTGGGCTGTAGATATTAATTGGGAAAAGGCAGGAATGCCTCTCACATGCAGCAACCACTGGCAGTGTCCAGGGGAGAGCAGTGGCTCTGATCACCAGGTCCCAGGAGAGCCCTGAAGGGACTGGTGCTGCCCAAGCAACCGAGCCCAGCTTGGTTTTGCTTCCCCCAAACTTCCACAACACTTCAAAATAAGTGCAATGCCTGGGCCTCTCTTAAGTTTGCCTTGCAGGCTTTTTGTGTTTGTTTTTTTTTGAGCCAGGAGAGTTCACATTCCCAAGCTTTTCCCTGCAGCCAGTAAGCAGAGTTTATTTTTTTTTTTAATAAAAAGGAGAAAGCAGAGCTTTGCATGTAACCTCAGCCTTCCTGAGCAGGGCATCAGCCTCAGGCACTGGACAGGCAGCTGAGAAGAGGCTGAAGCAGCTGGCAGATCTGGGGGTTGGAAGGGGGTTCTGGAGCCTCCCTTCTTCCTTCCTATGCCAAAATCTCCATCCCAGCCACATCTCCAACCTCAGCAACATGTACTGGAGAGAGTCCATTTTATAAAACCACTGCCTTTCTCATTTGAAAACAAACAGGGAAAGAAAACAACCAAGTGGAGCCATTTTCAGAAACTAACACAGACAGGGCAGCACCTCCCAACCACCAACAACTTAAGAAAATAGGGGAAAACCAGAGAAATGAAGCATTTGTTTCCCAGCAACCTAGTAAAAAAAAAAAAAGGGGGGGGGGAAGTTACTCATCTTGGAAAACACAAGCAGCTCCTTTATGAGTCCTAAGAACAGAAAGAAGAGCAGCCAGCTCTTACCTGAGCTTCTCCAGCCCTCCAGGATTTTTGGGTGAACACCAAGCTTTGTAACAACTTGCTGCTCAGGGAAGGGAAAGTGAGCAGAGCTGCTTATAATTCCCAGCTCTGCTGCATTTAAAGGATCAGCACAAATAATGCACACGTGGAAAAGAGGTTCCTCTGCAGGGCAGGTGAGTGCAGAGAAAAGGGATGTCTCTTTAGGAGTCCCAGGACACTGCAGGCCCTACAGTGGGGTTTGACATCCTGCTGAGGATCCATCCTGCTGGGGCTGGACCCAGCTGCTGCCCAGCTGCATCTGCTGCTCCCAAAGGAAGGATATATCAGAGCACAATGATTTGTTTTTATTGGGAATATTTGCTTCCTGCCACCAGGATGCATGTGCAGCAGCAGAGAAACATACAGGAGTGCAAGACCTTGTGCACCACGTGAGGCAGAAAAGATTTGTTAAGAGGGGTCTGTGTTACCCAGACATCTGTGGGAAGTGGCCAAGAGTGAAGTGCTGAACCTGCAATCCTGCCCACCTTCCTCGCAGTGGGAGAGCAGAATTCCACTCCAAACTTCACCACACAGCTCAGCCTGAGCCACAACTGCACTGGGATGGAGTTACTGGCACAGAAACTTCTGTCTGAGCTGAGAAAAGGCTGGACATCAGTCTGAGCAGGTGTGTCCCCCGTGCTCAGTGAGGGCTCAGCAAGAGCATCTCTGAGGAGAGCAGAGTCAAGGGAGCAGCCTTAGTGCACAGGACAGGTGGAAGGGGAATTTATCTTCTGCTCATTCTGGCTTGCCCCTGTGATGCTATTGAAATTCTGTGCTGCCCTCAGAGGAGGAGGCACCGAAGAGCAGAGGTTCCCTCCTGCCTTCTCCTCCAGAGGATGCTCCACTGCTGCTGGGAGCAGCCCCTGGCACAGGGGACAGCTGTGTGGCAGAGCAGCTGATGGGCCCTTGTCACCCTGCAGGACCCTGCTCCCAGCCTCTCCTCCCCAACAAAACACTTTTGGGTGACACTGCAGAGCAGCGATGCTCCCTTCAAAGCCCCTCTGCTCTTTTCCAGAGCTTTCTGCAAACACCAGCTGGTCCAGGCTGTGAAAGGCGTGGCAGCAGTGGACAGCAGGAAACAGCTGAAAGAAAACTCCCCTAAGGCGATCACAGCACATTTCCCAAATAGCAACGGGCCAGAGAAAGGCTACAAACAGAGGGGGAGAAACTCACTCTGCTGCCCTGGGGGCATTTTCAGGTATTAATGGCATGTGGACTACACTACCCTTCGGGAGAAAACTCTGTCTGCAAACCCCATTTCGTGCCAGCATTTCAGACATTCCAGAAGTCCCAGAACTTTGTGTCCAGCAAATGTGTTCAGGCTGCGTGTCCAGGGTAAAGGATTCCTGCTGGCCTCTCCAGGCACGTCACTCTGCATCTTGCTGTGGTGAGGCTGAGATGGAAAAGCCTCAGCTGCTGGCTGGGAGCTGCCAGGAGCTCCAGGGTCCTGCCTGCAGGGAGCTGTGTGCTGTGCTGTGAGACGGGGAGCACTGAATGCTCCAATGGCTTCACCCCTGAGATTTGGATTTCCCCGTCAGGCTGCCTGGAAGGCACCTGCCTCCTGTCCCCCTTGGTGGAGAGGGAACCTGAGGGACTAAATCCTAAGGGACTCACATCCCCAGAGATGCACATGGCTGGGCAGGAGCAGGGTGGCTGCTTTATAACCTCTGCTACCAACCACATCTGCTGACTAAGAGACTTTGTGGGATCCTCATGATTTTCCCTGCCTGATTCATAGGATATTCATGACCAGGAGGAAAATGTCTCAGTCACAGTTCCAAACATAGAAAACCTTTCCCTCAATGACCCCTTCCTCAAGGGGCAGTCCATGTCCTTTCCACTACTCACCCTCAGCAGGAGGGAGAGAAACCTGCCTCCACATCCCCTTCCTGCACGTCCCTGCTCTCTGGTGACCCCTCTGACAAATTCCGATGGCAGTGGAATTCCATCAAGGCTGCACTGAACATCCTCGGGGTGCAGGTGACCTCCCTGGTGACATCTCACACACTCACACTCTCACTCTCTCCCACTCCCAGGGGGCCCAGCGGAGTCAGGGTGAGGGGTTTGGGTGGTGGGTCTCTCTGGCTGTTACCAGTAGGGGCTGGTGGCCAGCAGGATCTGCAGGGCCATGGAGAGGCAGGGCAGCTGGGCCACGCTGTAGGCCACGGAGCGTGTGGGAGCCCTCAGCTGCAGGAGGTAGGCAATGGTGTGGATGATCCGTCCCACGCAGAAGATCAGGAAGTGGATCCTGGCCACTGTGGGGCTGGGATCCAGCAGGGAGTAGATGGCTCCGAGGAAGAGGAAGGGGAAGATGTTCTCCATGTCATTGCGGTGGGCCCTGAAAAGAGAGATAAGGTTGTTCCTCCCCACCAGAATTCACTGTTTTCTCTCATTCCTTCTAGCCAGAGTACCCACCCCTAGGTGCTGCTGGGCCTCTTCCCCATTGGATGGGGCAGACACAGTGTCAGTTCTCCCTTACACACAGAGGCAGGAGAATTTCACACCCTGTGTCTCTCCCTTGGGATGCTGAGCTCCTGAAACTTTCTCTCCGTGACTGGGACGCCTTTGCCACAGCAGATGACAGCTCCAGGGTTGGAGCTTTCAAATAAACAGAGCAAAACACAGACTCTGTGAAGCTGCAAAAAGCTCAAAACTGGTGTGGTGCCAGCACGGCATGGCCCCAGATGTGGCCATCAAACAAAAGCAGCTCCAGACCACAGCTTCTCCAGTGGAGAAACTCACAGGATGAGAGGGGTTGTGGTTTCACCTCTCTCCATAAATGCATCCAAAGGGGACTGGGGAGGAGTGGCCCAGGGACCCCCAGACTGTGGCTGGAGGGGATGCTGTGGCCATGTGGTGACACATCAGCACTGTGTCCCAGCTGAATGCACCTGCCTGGGTGTCACAGCACCACTGCCACAACCCCAGCACTAATGAAACAGCATCTGCTCAGGCCATGAGTGTGGGTTGTGCCCCTCCTCCCCCAGGCACCATCCTCTGAATAAACCCCAAGGATCTGGGGGTCCAGCAGGGCTGGAAGGACAAATGGAAGAGGAAGGAGGAGAAAGGAGAGAGCTGCAAGGCAGTCAGGGGCTCTTTAAGAGGAACAGGGTAAATGTCCTGCCCTGCTCTGTCCCTGCCCTGCACAGACCCTGGCTCTGCTCCCCTCCAGATACAGTCTGAGATGAGAAGCTGACATTGCCCTTGCTCTGGGGAAGCACCTTGGACTGAATGTGTCTTCTCCAGGGCTGCAAATACATCAGCAAGGACGGACTCTGAGAGCTTCAGCTGCCCAAGTCAGATCCCAGGCTGCCCCAGGTTTTTGCTGCAGCTCCAGTTATTTATTTTTATGGAAGTTTGTTTATCCTGAATAATCAAAAGAATATTATGATTATTATTTCTGCTATTATTTTATTTTTGCTAGGAAGGAAACGGCTCATTTTCCATCCTCCTCCTCCCACTGGCAGCCTGGCAATTAGGTGGCACTGGATGTTTTCTAAAGCAAATGCTGGAGGCAGTGGGACATGAACAGTGAGGTCCCCACGGGCTCAAGGACAGCAGGGCACAACTCCAGTCCCTTTCCTGCACATCATCAGCAATCCAGCCCAGCACTTGGGGCACCTCCTTTGGTAAGGGGGACAGCAAATCAAGCCCAGGGCTGAAGAACCCCATGCTGTACAATTGTACAACCGTGATTGTCACAGAACAGGGGTGACATTCAGAGTGTGCCCAGTCAGAGAGGTAAAAGTTATTGTAATCCTGTTCAGCCTTTTCCCAAATCCCCAAAAAGGGGCAGCTGCCTACAGCACTGGGACCAGTCACTCTGTTGTCTGTCCAAGCTGTGCAGGGATCTGGAGTCCTGTCAGAGCAGGACACAAAGAGACACTGGGAACCTGTGGGGCTTTGAGCCCCTAGAAAAGAGCTAGTCAGAGCTGGATGCTGAATGCAAACCCAGATCCCTGTCTTGCCCTTGCTCCAGTGCACACCAGGGTAAAGATTAAACTGCTCTCGTGCACAGGGCCCCAGAGCAGAGCTCAGGGCAGTCTGACCATCTAGAATATTGCTCCGTTAGTGAGTCCTTTAACTTCCCACTTCTTGTTTGCCAGCAGCTGGTGCGGAGGGAATGGTGGCACTGGGAATGGTGGCACTGGGAATGGTGGCACTGGGAATGGTGGCACCAGGAATGCTGCACTGGGAATGGTGGCATGGGGAATGCTGCACTGGGAGTGGTGGCACTGGGAATGCTGCACCGGGAGTGGTGGCACTGGGAATGCTGGCACCAGAAGGAATGGTGGCACCAGGAATGGTGGCACCAGGAGTACTGGCACTGGGAATGGTGGCACCAGAAGGAATGGTGGCACCGGGAATGGTGGCACCAGGAGTACTGGCACCGGGAATGGTGACACCAGGAATGCTGGCAGCAGGAATGCTGCACTGGGAATGGTGGCACTGGGAATGCTGCACTGGGAATGCTGGCACTGGGAATGCTGGCACCAGAAGGAATGGTGGTACTGGGAATGCTGCACTGGGAATGGTGGCACCGGGAATGCTGCACTGGGAATGCTGGCACTGGGAATGCTGGCATCGGGAATACTGCACTGGGAATGGTGGCATCAGGAATGGTGGCACCGGGAATGCTGCACTGGGAATGGTGGCACTGGGAATGCTGGCACTGGGAATGCTGGCACTGGGAATGCTGGCACTGGGAACGCTGGCACCAGGCATGCTGGCAGCAGAGGGAAGGCCGGCCCCGCTCACCTGCGGCACCGCTCCACGTCGGGGTCCTCGCGGCAGAACTGCAGCCCCCCGTTGCGCAGGGCGTCCTCTGGGTTAGCAAATGCCTGCAAGAGACAGTCCCCGCTGCTTACAGCCTTCAGGAACCTCACAGGTAGAAGCTTTGCCCCTAATCTTGAAGTTCTGTAGGGATTTTACCTGCCCAAATTTGTTAGCACTGCTCATACAAATGAGGGTCGCTGCACTTCCATGCACACTGTCCTGCACCTCCCCAGGAGTTCTCCCTCTCCTCCAAAAAACCCAGTGCTGCCTGCTGAGCAGGTCCCAAATGAGGGTTTCAAGGGAGCTCCCACCTCACGCCCATCCTCCTCTTCCCATGAAACCCATTTAGAGGAGACTTTCCAGGCAGCGGGATCGCTGCTGGCAGAGAGCTTGCAGACACAATGCAGCCTCCAAAAGATAACCAGCACTGACAGATTACAGAACATTCCCTGGCTGGCTTTTTGGCAGTGGCACTGTGTGGCTTTCCCACAGGGAAATGGGATCCTACACTAATAAAGTTAAAAATTAAATTATTTGTGTGAGCTCCTCACCTATGCTCAGAAGCTGTTCCTCAGGGACCTGGCTGCATCTGACAGCTTCATTCTGCAGCCTGGAAAGGGCCCTGCTGCTTTCTTTAATTATGTTACAAGCCCAAACTGTCCCAGGGCTGGAGCATCATTTAGAAGCACAAGGGGAGAAGACAACTCATCAGTCAAAATGATGCCACAGCACAGGGTATTTGTATTCTGTCTGAGACCAGAAATGTCTCCCTCCCTCTCCACTGACACAGTCAGAAACTCCTCAAATACTTTAAAACAGATTTTACAGAAAGTTGGGTTTTATCAGGAGTTGGGGTGAGGGTAGCAAAAGTCCAGTTGGCCCCAACTCCTGACAGCAGCTGGTCCTCCCTGACCAAAAATCATCTCCTCCAGCTATTGTTTTATTGCCCACAACTTGCTGCTCTCCTGGAGCGTTCCCTTAGCCAGTCAGCCTCCAAAAGATCAAAAACTTTCTGCTACATTGCAAGAAAAAAGATCATTGCAATGATTTCTTCTTAAACTTTTTTTTTCTTCCAGACCCTGCAAATCAACTGTAAACAGACTCTTTCTAGAAGCATCTCACCTGCTTGGCATTTTAGATCTGATTATTATTTAGATTAGGTTTCCAAAGTTATAAACAAAGTATAAACAAACAGAAAGAGTCAAAGAGAAGTGAGATTTTTTTATCTGTTGCAGCTATGAAACAAGTTTTGCTTTCAAATGAAGTCAAAGAAAACTCAGCTTGCTTCAGGAAAATTTTGCTGAACTTTTAGAGAAATAAAAGAAGAAAGCAAAATCACAGAAACCCAAGCAAAGAGCCAGATAGGGAGGAGAAGAAAACGAAACTGGATCTTACCTTCTTTCTGAGTCTCACTTGCCCCGTAATGATGGCAACCACATACATCTTTAAAATCAGAATTGTGCTGTAGAACGTGAATGACAGGAACACTTTATTCTCCATCATTTTGGGAGAACGTGCTGCTGGATCACTTCAGCACCCAAAGCCAGGGGAGATCTTGGGCTGCGAGCCCCGCAGGAGAGAGGCAGGAGCGGCTGCGTTTAAACACAACACAACACAACACAAATCACTCATTTGCCGGGCCCTGTGCCGGGACAGCGAGCAAACCCAAGCAGCATCTTCTGCTCCTCACACCCCGAGCTCCCTGCGGATGAGCTGCCGAGGCAGGAGGGGCCGGGCACAGAGCTCCGACCCTCCGGAGCAGCCCGGCTCCCCCTCCCAGCCCCGCGGGCCCCGCGCACAGCATCCCTCGCCCGGCCGGCGCTGCTCACCCGGCAGCGAAGCCGGTGAGGAGTGGGGAGGAAGGTAAAGCCTGCCGCAGCCCCGGCAGCCCTGCCTGCAGCCCCGGCAGCCCTGCCTGCAGCCCCGGCAGCCCTGCCTGCAGCCCCGGCAGCCCTGCCTGCAGCCCCGGCAGCCCTGCCTGCAGCCCCGGCAGCCCTGCCTGCAGCCCTGCCTGCAGCCCTGCCTGCAGCTCCCCGGGCTGCGCTTCCCGTCCCGCCCAGCGCGGGCTGGGCGCTCGCCCCGCGCCAGGGCAGGGGCAGCCGCGCTTTTCCTGCAGATCCACCTGCCGGGATGGACAGGGGACACAGCTGTCCCCCGCCCACCAGCCGGGAGCCTGGGCTGCCCCGCAGCCCCGGATGGGAGGGGAGCCCCGGGAATGACCAGCCAGGAATGTCCTGGACCGCAGAGCTGAAGTGAAGAGCTGCCGGCCCAACCCAAAGAAGAGGAGGAACCAAGGCAGCCTGATGGAATATTTGGTTTAGAAAGTGCCTTGTGAATTTGGAGCTGGATTTTCATCAGCCATCAAAGACTGTGGAATAAAGAGTGGGACCGGAGCCTCTGCAGGCAGCTGGGCTGCTATTTAATGCAAACTTAACTCCTTCTCCCCCAGTGCTAGCAGCAGCAAACCTCAGGGAGCCAGAGGTGTGGGGGCTGATAGGAGCTCTCCAAGTTTATTAGAGTGGAAGGGCTGGATTTGGTATTCATTTCCTTAACACAGGAGAAAAACAAAACAAAACTAGCAAAAACAAATAACAAAAAAACCCCTTATTTCAGGAAAATAGAAAATTCTTTGCATTTGCCTCTGAATCTTCCTCATGGCCATTCTGCCCTGGTGCTGCAAACCCAAAGACCTTCCACTGCTCCATGCAATGCTCTGGCTCAGCCTCACGATATCTGAGAGTGTACATGGAAGCACAAAGCAGTGAAGGAAAGGCAAAGCTGGACCTGCAGTGCAAGCACAGGACCTGGATGTAGCTCCTGTGATTTGTGTTGCCATGGCAATGGGGTGAATTTGGAGTGGAGGCCATGTGGTCTAGTTTTTCTACCCGATACCCAGAAAAGTTTTGACAAACCAAAACCTCCTACCAATAAATATTCTGTACAACACACCCACAAATAACAGAAAATTTGATCACTATTGGCAGCACTTTGCACTATAGTGGTTAATAAGATGTAAAAGCTGGCCAGTTTAATATTTAGCTGGCAGACAAGAATTTTACTTGAAATTCCAGGAACAGTTTGACAGATCTGTCCTCTCCCACCCCACAAGGGTCATCTTTTGGTAGGTCTTGTGTCCTCAGAGTGTTAACCTGGGAAATTAAGATTGTGATTGCCACTGCATTGTTAGTGCTCTGTAAAGCCACTCTGCAGTTCAGCCATTTGTCATGGGCAATCCAAAAGAACCATACATGTGACATTCAATAAACTGTGCTATTCCTGAACCCAGCTGGCTCTTCTGAATGTGACCAGACTATAGTTCACAGACTATTGGTGCACCTGGCATGAAGCCTTATAGATAGGTTTTTTTAGCAGTGCAGAAAGCCTTTGAAAACCCCAAGCACTTGGTTTTAAGGGGGAGGTACTTGCAGCTGGTCACCACCACCCTGGCGCTGGGGAGGCTGCAGGACAAGTCCCGGCACAGCCCAGTGTGGAGCTCTGCAGCCTCTGGCAGGCTGCTCCCCTGGAGGTGGGAATGGGGACACCAGGACCTGCAGCAGCCAGGTGGATTCAGGCTCTGTGCTAAGAGCTGGGGTGTTCAGCAGTGAACCATCCCAAGCACTGCACCCTCCCATCCCTCCTCTCCACAGCTGACAGGGATCAACCCACAGCAGAGAAGACCTCAGTGCCCAAGGACTGGGGTTATGCAGCCCCACAGCATGGATGAGACATTCTCCAGCAGCCCCTTCTCCCAGGAGCCTGGGAGAGGACAGGCAGCAAATCCCTTCACCAACACATCACACCCTCCATGCAGCAGCTCCAGTTTTTACCAGCTGATGATCCAGTCCACGGCGACTTCAGCAGTGGGACCTTTTTCCTTCATGCACCTTCTTCCCCTCCCAAGGCAGCCAACACCTCGCTGAGCAGCAGGAATATGCACCTGCAGACAAGCCAGGACTCCTCCAGCAGCCAGCCAGCCTGCTCCTCCTTGGCACAGCTCAGACACTGGCAAGGAGCCCTGGACAATTTGCAGCAGCAACTGGCACAAATTTACATTGAACAGAGAGATCAGGAAGCACGCCTTGTTCAGGGATAAACCCTCAGGGCAAACTCAGGTGTGGATGTGTTAATTTTAAAAAAGTTTTATTTTTCTGTGTGTTTATGCATTTCAAACCCCTTTCGGTGTTCCACAGAGTGGACCCCCAGAGGGGAGGGTAATGGATGGGGATGAGGAGCAGAAGATGACTGCAAAGGCAGGTGTAACCTCCTGGGATCCCAGCTCCTTTTCAGTTTACCAGGTTCAGGGCTCTCCTGCTGGGTAGAACACACCCACACTTGCACCCTCCTGGCTTTTGAGACCCAGCAGCTGCTGGAAGCGTGTTCAACCATCCCATTAATCCATGCGGAAGCAGGCTGTTAATATTAATGATTTGATCCTCCTCCACAGATCACATCCTGCCTGGACAGAGCCCTCAAGAAGGCCAGGTCCTAACAGCAGCATGTCTTTAAACTACAAGACATGCCTTAAAACCTTGAGCATGAGAGGTCTCAACCCAGGAAAAGATCTACCTAAACCAAACACCGCTAGCTGAAAACACTGTTTTGTTTTGTTTTGGTTTTTTTGAGAAATTATTAATAAAAATCCGTGAGAGACTTTGAAAGATTAGGTTGTCAGGTTAGACTGACCCCAGGAGCTGTAGGAAAAAAATGCAGCATTTTGCTGGAGGAGGAACTGAACTGTAGGAAGCAGAAGGAATGAAAAATTAATGAGAAAGCTCGAGACAAGTACTTAAAAATAAAAGCCTGTAAAAGCGATTCTGCTTTGGCAAAATCATGGAAAAAAATCACTCTCGATTCCCACACAGTTATTTATTTGACCAACTGAATTACACTACAGTATTGTGACATATTTTTCCACTCTTGCTCCTCTGGGGAATTTCCCGGTGGCAGCAAAAGAAGGGAGGAGGTTCAGTGGATCACTGGCACATCCGCTGGGGTGGCACAGCCTGGGCTCCACCCTGATCCCAAAGGAGAGCCGACACTTTGAGCAATTGCAGCTCAGATCCCCCGAAATTTTCCCTAAGGAGCAATTACATCCCACAGCTGGGGCTAAGCAAAGAGCCCGAGGGGGCTGCTCCAGGCTGGAGGAGATGGGCAGGTGGGTGGCACTTCTCCAGCATGCTTCCACATGCTGGTGGAGAAGCTGCAGAGCCCAGCTGGGATTTTGCTTGCCCAGGAGCTGAGCTACATTCCCAGCTTGCTCCAATGCTGCAGTGTGCACTGGTGCCCTCCTGCCCTGCCATTTCCTCCTGCTGCTCCCAGCACAAAGCCTTGGAGCCTGCACACTCCAGTGATCACCTGCACCCATCCTGGGAAACCCAGCTGCCAAGGGAGGCTGTGCTGTGCTGGCTCATCACACACGATGGCTTTTCAAGTAAAGGCATGAGCGTTTCAAGTGTTTATTAGTGAGAAGGGTGCTCCACCTGCCTTCCCTCCCCAGCCTGCACGAAAGCTCCCACCGCCGTGACGCACCTCCCATGGACCTGTGAAATGCTCTTGCTTCACCTGCAGCTCCCCATCCCCAGACTCCTGGGCTCCTCATGCTTGTTTCAGCAACATGACACAGAAGATACTGCAAAGTCAGTAAGCAGTGGAGCCACCAGCACCTCTGGCCGCCAGCATTAGCATCTGTTGTGGTTTGACACTGGCCAAACTCCAGGCACCCACAAAAATCGCTCACTCGCCCTCCCCTGACACAGCTGGGCAGAGGAGAGAGAAAATTAATGAAGGGTTCATGAGCTGAAATAAAGACTGGGAGAAAAACTCTAAGGGCAAAATAGGCTCAGCTTAGAGGTATGAAATGAATTTATTTCTAACAAAATCAGAGGAGGATAATGAGAAGTGAAATAAACCCTTAAGAACACCTTTTCTTCCCCCAACTCCTCCCTTCTTCCCACTGACAGTGCAGGGACACAGGGCATGGGAGTTTTGGTTATTTCATCACTGAGATTTTCTTCAACTGCTCAGGGAGAGAAGTTTTTCCCTTGGGACACTGTGGGGTCCCTCCCACAGGAAACAATTCTCCATGATCTTCTCCAGTGTGGGTCCACTCTCATGAGCAGTATTCCTTCCCAAACTGCTGCAATGTGAGTCCCTTCCTGGGCACACAGTCCTCCAAAAACTGCTGTGGCATGGGTCACTTTTCCACAGTGCTCCAAGGAGAGGCTGCTCCAGCCTGGAAGCAGGGCCCTCTCTCCACTGGATCTCCCACTGGGTCACAGCCTCCTCCAGGCACCCATCTGCTCTGGTCTGGGCACTTCTGCCATGGGCTGGGGGTGGATCTCTGCATCCCTGTGGATCTCTGCATCCCCTGTGGATCCCCACGGGCTGGGGGTGGATCTCTGAATTCTGATGGACCCATGAGCTGCAGGGGCACAGCTGCCCCACCATGGTGATCACCACGGCCTGCAGAGGAATCTCAGCTCTGGCACCTGGAGCATCTCCTCCCCCTCCTTTTCCACTCACCGTGTTGTCTCCATGTTGTTTCCCTCACATGTTCTCACCTCCTCCTCTTCTCTGGCTAGAAAAAAACTCTGTTCCCCACTTTGCTCTGATTTTCTTCTCAAATATGTTGTCAGAGAGGCATTACCATCATCTCTAATTGGGCCAGCCTTGGCCAGCAGCATGGCCATCTTCAGAGCCATTAGGAATTGGGTCAGAGCCATGAGGGGAAGCTTCTACCACCTTCTCACAGAAGCCACCTCTGTGACCCCCCCGCTACCAAAAACCAGGCAGGGGAAAACCAACATCTCAGGAAACAACTGGGATGCTTCAGCCTTCAGCAAAGTCAGGCAGATTTTGTCTGGTTTGCATTTTAAAGTGAGAGCACTGGCTGCAGCTATCTGAGAGGCCTCAAGCAGGAGGAATGCACATCAGGCTCTCCCAGATTGTCCTTCACACTCAGAAGAGCAGATGCCTGCAGCAGGCGAAAGCCATCAGGAGAGGCCCAGGGAAGGGGCAGGAGTGTGGTGGCTCTGAGTCTCAGGCAGAGCAGAGGAAGCTGCTGTTCCTCAGCCAGGCCCAGGGCCAAGCCAGAGGCAGTGGCATGTCCTCCTGATTTTTTCCTCCAGCTCCATCCACCATCCTTTCCTGCCTGCTCCTGGGCTGCTCCCAAGCACTCTCCTGTCCCAAACTGCCACAGACACCCTGGCTGCAGAAGTGTCACTGTCCCCTCTGCTGCTGTGACACTGGAGATGCCAGAAGAGAGGCCAGCAGGCTGTGGGTGTATGGAAATAGATTATTTTCTCTTGCTCTGAGCCTCACATGGATTCGTGCCTGGGCTTTCTCTTAGAGGAAAGAATTCCTTGGCTGTGCTGCTCTGTGCCTTCAGGGATGAAAGCCCACTGGGGAAGGAGCTGAGGGGAGTGATTTTTCCTCTCTCCTCTCTCCCTCTGTCCCAGCTGGTTTAGGTGCTGGCTTTAGGCAGAGCTGCACCTGCTACTGCTGAGACCAGGTAAAGGTGGAAGGGCTTGGGTGTGGGGAAGCTGTGTCTCTCTCTCACTCAGCCACACCTCAGCATCTCGTGATGTGTTTTGCTTCTGAAAAACCAGATCCCATCACCTGTAAACAACAGGCAAAACACACTTGTGTTACTGCCCAAAAAGAGGGAGTTTCCCTGCCAGACTGGGAGAGGAGAGGAACAAATTACTGCCAAAAATTTCAGAATTTGGGAACATTTCCTAGACTTCAAGCATTTGCAAAACTACAGTGTAGATGCAGATTCCCTGGTGGGGTGCTCTGAAACAAGAGCAAAGGTAAAGGAAGCTGCATGGTCCAGCCTCCACATGCTGTGTTATGGAGAGGTGGAAATCAGGGCATGGCAATCACAGCATGAAGAGCCCTGGCTCACTAACAGGGCTGGGAGAGAAGCAAATGTGGTCCCTGATTCCAGCCTTATTTCCAGACCTGACATTGAACAGCAATGAGCAGCTTCAAGGTGAAAAGTAGAAAACAAACCTTTTATTTCCTGGGCTGCTAACCCTGCCTTGCAACCCAGGAAGAACAGGTTGCTGAGCTTGCTAATTTTAAAATCTTTTAAGCCCTGTTTTCACCAGATAGGCATTTTCAAGTTCTCACAGGACAAGAGGGAATGGAAAGGTCAGCACGCCATTGCCTGTCCCTGACCCAAGCTGAGTGGCTACACCACCCTGGTGAAACCGACTCCGAGGAGAGCCTTCGTTCATGGCTCTGCTACAGAGCTGCACCCACCACAAAGATTTACAAAACACAGACCCTTGAGTTCTCTTGGGTCCCCTTCATCACCCCCAAATTAAAGAGGAGCATTTCCTCCCACCCTCCTGCGTAGGTCATGTTGTCTAGATCTCTTTAATACACATGCCAATCTTGTAAGTGACGCTTTGCAATGTCCTGGAGGGCGACTGAGCTTCCTAGAGCAGACCAGGATCTCCTTCCCACAAGACCTGACTCAGGCAGAAGTCAGAGCTGCTCAGTAATTTGAGGTTTTTTGAGTCAAGTCATTGTGTCATTGGCTCAGACACATCCTAAAACTTTCCCTTTTCCTGCACAGAGTCATGAACAACATATTCTTTGTTCATTATATGAACAACATATATTTTTGGGTTTTGGACCGAAAGGTGGGTCTCATTAGCAATGATAAAAGCACCCTCCCCACAATCAGCCTGAAAAGCAAGGAACAATTTAGCAGTTATTTACAGTCCCTTTGCCTGGAAGCTTTTTATTGTGCTGTTGTCTCAGCTGACCTCTTGCTCACAGCAGTGGCAGCACTGACACAACATGACCCTGACTTTATCCAGAGCAGAATTTGGGTTGAATGATGCAAAGAAGTAGAAAAACATCTCCACTCTACTCTGCAGGCAGTGATGCTTGGGCTAACCATCCTAAGTTTTCTTCTCTGCCTGA